ATTGCAAATCATTTCCTGGACCTTTTAATTTAAACGGAACAAATCGAAATGATTATTTACTCAATAATTGTCTATTTTCTCTCAGAAACACGAAGTACAGTTTTCAGTCAAAATGCTAAAAAACTGATGTCAGCATCATATTCAAGTCCCAAATCAAACTTGAAAGGTATTTAAGGTAGACGCGAATTGTATTTTAGAATCAAGAATCTCTACATTTGAAAAGTCAAAATAATATTGTTAGGAAATTAGTCATGAACACAAAAATTTTAACTTGAAAAAAACTGCAGCAGACCTGGTATTTTTTAACTATCAATAAAAATGCTCGATTATTTTTGCACAAAAATATACAGAAACTACTGAATTAATTTATGAAAAAAAATCAAATAAGTGGTCCGTGTTTAAATTATTCAGAGGATTTTTTTCTATTTTAACGAGCTTAAAAAAGTTACCACATACCAGCTGATTTCCCGACAAACTCACTAATTATTCTCATCCATAAGTAAAAAAACTAAAACATTTTTTCTTTGTAGCAAGGAGAAAAATCGAGAAGGGTAACACCAAAACAAATTATTTAAGATCAGACTCTACTAGAGAGAGGTTTTAAATCTCCATTCAATTAGCAATGGTTTTCCTTAGACTTCTTTGCAACTGAACTAAACGAAAATGAGCGACATAGCTTGATGAATCCAAAAGCGAAAGTATCAGCAAATCTTGACACTAGTTGAGTAGATGAGAATAACGAAATCATCCTCAACAACAGCCGATTTTGTCGTAAATGAACTGTTAATTTAAAATTTGTTCTTGCGATCATTTATTTTCTTAAACTGCCATAATAATAATTAAAAAAAATGAAGACAGGAAAAGAAAAGAGACCGATCAAGTAGTTAAAGGGAGCCCAAATTACATTTTATATTTTTATTTGAATTTATTAGAATTAATTACATATTATTGAGCCAAGGTTCAAAATTTCTAACACTGACACCACGCTCATTTACATTTTTTAAAATACTTAGCAAAGCTTTCGCTGCTGAGGAACGATGATAATTTCTCATTGATGTCCAAGCAATATTATTAGTAATTCAAATATCAGAAAATTTTTTTTTTTCTATAAGAGTAAGACTTTTTAAAAGACAGTCTTATTCATTGTGTTTGCAAGGTGTGTAAACATTAAACGCGTTAATATTACTTACTGTATCATCTGTTGTTCTCGTTCTTCTTCATCGCGTTGTCTTTTAAGAACATCTTCTATGATTCGTCGCTCATCTTCTGTAAGATGACTTAGATCAGGCATTGGTGGAAGGGATGGTCGACGGTTAGTCGACATCTTGGGAATCTGACTGATGCGTTGTGTTAGAGAATGGCGGCCTGACTATTATTAGTAGTAGTGATATCGTAAGTATCGCACCAATGTCAGTAAATGATGATGAGCGAGGAACGAACTGAAGGCTGATGAGCAGATTATGCAGGGGAAAGAAGGTGGGGGTCTGGTTGCGGTGGAGGTTGTAGTAGCAGTCGAGATCAGAAGGATGAGATGCACCAACAAGAACACAACGCTAGAATGATTTTTATTTTTTCTTGACGTCTGTCAGTCGTATTTCTTCTTCTGTATTGCCTGGTAAATCAAAATCGAAGCCAAAGGCAACTTAAACCAGAAAGAATGTCAGTTACATACACCTGACTTTAAGTGGAGAAACGAACCAATGACAATGATCACTCCAGAAGTTTGATAGAAACAAGAAGTCTGATGTTTTTACCCTAAGTAATTTTAAGTTAGTCCATCGCCCTCTTGCATTTTTTGGCCTGTCCATATATCACCTACTTTGTGCCCCCGACAGCGCCAAATATGACGCTGCCGAGCAGCTTTATCTGCGTTTGTTTATTATCCCCCCCTACTTTCCTTTTCAAATTATATTATTTATTTTATTATTAGCACTTTTTGTAACTTTTTGTGTTCACTAATGCGTTATGTTGTCGTTTTTGTGTGTGTGTCATGAGTTAAATGTTATGTGTTGATGTTTGTAACTGTGTCTTCTAGTCTTTCCTTTTTACAACCTCCATCCATATTGTTGTGTGTGTGTGTGTGTGTGCAACTGTATGTGAGCTGCTCTCTTTGCTCACCTTCTTCCTACGCTGGTTTAGTACAATGGCAACCTCCCTCCATCTGCTGCTACATGGACTCGGAGCAAGTATTGATAACGTACCCGGATCGCACTATCGAAATTATAGCAGTAGCAGCAGATGTCTACCTCGTAGTATTCGTTGTCTTTGAGCAACTCGTAGTGATTGTAGTAGTAGTAATGGTGATAACAATAACAACAACTGAACCACTGCGAACAGGAGGAGGTGTAATGACACTGTCATTATGACAGAGTAGCAGCAGTAGGAATCCAGCGTGCGTACACTACAAGAAGAGTAAATAAATGCAGTTGTAGTAGAAAGTTTGCTTGTTGTAATGTAGTAGTAGTAGTTAAGCAAGACGAAACGACAGCTACTAAGCCAACCGATTATTCTTTCTTATGCATGGCCCGTTTTTACAATAGGACACTAGCAACTGTAGTGTTTTTAATGTGACGTGGGACTATATTGGAAATACTAGCGTATCATAAAGCGTAAATAATGCTAATAAATTAGTTACACAACTTAATCTAGTTCTTTTCTTGAAACCTTAAAGGGCGGTAGTATAACAGGTGGTTGTGTTTTACTGTTAGTGTTAGTGTTTATGCATTAAAAACTAGTGTTCTGATTGCATGTATTGTAAATAATGCAATTATTACAACATAACACTTTAGTTTAAAAAGTCTTATTTTTCTACACATAGTGTTGTCAAAATGTAAATCATTATTCAATCGCTATCCCTAAATGGTAATAAACATTTTAATTTTTAAAGTCAGCCAATAAACAACTTCTTAAGCGTGGGTTTATCAAACAAAAATGCATAATGGATTATTTTGGAACGCTACTTTCGTATAACAAAAATATAAGCTAGTAATTTCTGATTTTTATCAATAATTCAAGTTTTCAAGAAATTGTTAGCTGACTAATAACAATAACTACCAACAACAAATGTAAAGAGAAAATTTATTTTAATTTTTATTCAAATGTAACAGTAAGTTATATCAATTATCATTCAAACACTATTGACTATTTGCATATAAATAAAAAGACTGCTAATTAACTGGTCATGTAAATGTGCATTTTTGATTGATAATGTTCTTTAATTTTGTTTGAGCCTGTTGATATGTACAGAAATAGATGGAGAAAATGATGAAGAAGTACAAGACTGGCTGCCAAGGGATTAAAAGAGGATGATTATGATACCTTTTACTTGTTTCACTTTTTTTTTTGTCATGTGTTACGGTTATTGAACTTCAATTAATTGATGAATGTCGCTGGATATTTCTAATCTCGACCACCATGTCTATATTTTCAAAAGATGGACACTGTATGACATCATAACTTACCTTTTTAACTCTTGCTCTTTTCTTTAAAAGATAAGTATTTTTCTGTTATATATTTAAACACTCTTTAAATGAGAAAATTACAATAAAAACTACACACCCATTTCCATTTATGGGATCTTAATGTTAAAATTAGCGAGTACAGCTACTAAAAAAGCATAAGACGCGTATATAGTGGAAGATAAAATTTCATCATGTTCTTCTTAGCCTTGTATAAATTCACACATAAAACTAAAAGTGAATATTTTTCCTTTTTTCATCAAAGTCAGCAGTTAATTCACACTTGATTCCGATATCTGTTTTTTTTTCCTACTCTTAGTTTAAATGTTTTTGAATTGTCATGATTTTGTTTCCACTCACTATGCTTTAAAAACAGTTTTTGACAATTTGGTTTCATATTTTGCCTATGTCCACTTTCAGAACTTTTTTAATTTCTTGTTTGAAAAAATATCGTCCAGTTTCAACATTGATTGTAGATGTTAACACTGTTAATTAAAAATATTATAAGTTATTTACTAATTTAGGAAAGCACTGAGAATTAATTATCTACTCGGAGATATATTGAAAGTTACTTTTACTTCCTTATATACAGTAAGTTATACTGTAAGTGTAATTAATTTATGTCTAAATTTTGCTGCCATAGACTGCATCAAATATTCTCAAAAGTAGGTTATTTATTATTAGGCCCAGTTTCAATACTTCATGAAATTTTTTCAAGTACAAACAAAAATCTACTCTATTTGCTAGAAGTGATTAATTTTGGTGATTATTAAAAAATCTAAAATTTTCAAAAGGGTTTATTACTCCTCTTTCAAGCTTGCCTTAACTGACAATGTTAAGCACTCATTGCACTATATTGGTTATCTGGTCTCACAAGCCATTGAAAGTAATCACTAAATTCTTTAACCATAGTTTTGTGCTCAAGTCGGCTAATTCCAACAAAACCTATATTGACATGAAAAATGAATTCTCTTAATGATTCAGTATTTTCAATCAATTTGAGAAAATGTGTAAGGAGAAATAGATCTTTCAAAAAGAAAAGGGGTAACTTTTACTTTTAAATCTTTGGTGCATTTCTATAGAACATGGGTTATTCTTCACCAATCAAGTTCTGGGAAATGCTGATTTGCTATCAAATTTGTACCAGTGAATTACTTAAAGACAGAGAAACAAAAGATAACAAAAATATTGAATTCATTCTGTATGATGAGATGTCAGGTTTGTCTATCATCCAGTTCACACTTCTCCTGCACTTTTGAACAGAAGTGGAGATTTATCCCTTGTTTCCAGCTTAGGATTGGATTTCTAATTCCTTCTAAAGTCTTTATTCTCTTTTACTTCCAGTAACCCCTTGCATCTTAGTGGCATCATTGCCTTGCTCGGGGTGAATTGATTAAAAAATACTTTGAAGTGCACTTTGTTATTAAAAAGTACCATAATTTATTTTAATATATCTAACAGGCTTTTTTTATATGCTAACATATGTTTATGTAAAGCTTATACATTTTTTTTTTTTTGTTTTTTTTTTTGTTTTTGGTCACATCCCATTGAAACACCAGTTCCTGTAAGATCACCAAAGTTAAGCAATGTCATACCTGGTCAGGACCTAGATGGGTGACTGCTTGGAAATACCAGGTGCTGTAAGCTTGGATGTGCAGGTGGTGTAATGGATAATAGTTCAGAATTGTTAATTGGAGAGATGAGTTCCAATTCCAGTTGGGTTTGTTATGCACTTATGCACAAATATCCTTGGAAAGGTACGAATCTATCCAGTTATGGGTTAATTTCATTAATCCAGTACATGTTTGGAGTTTGCTGTCACATTTTCTAATTTCTTTTAAAACATTTTCCAGATATTTAAACTTCTGTACTTGTTTATGTTAACATATCCAATTTGTAGTTCACATCTTGGGATTTTTCTTTTGCTGGCAACCATACTTTCTATTTTCTTACAGTTTTTCTTACTTTCTTTCACTACTCTGTCTAGGAGGTCTCATAGTTTTCTTTGTGTCTGATATCAGGTACAGTAGCCAGTTCAGTTTGTTATTTTCTGTAGGTTACCCTGATCAATATACACCTGATGAAAGGTGGAAGGCACAGTTGCCAAAACATTGTGATAACAACAACGAAGATGAGGACAATAATATATATTTTCATTAATTACATTGTTCAGACTATTGTCTTCTTTATTGCCATGTTCACTAGAGTATGAAGGTATCATCTCCATATCTCAGCCATAGGGTTGGCTTTAGTGATGATTCTAATGCTATTTCTTTGAAGTATTCCATGAATATTTTTGACATTGCTGGTGATAATGGTGAGCCCATTGCTAAGCCTTCATCCTGTCAATATCTGATCCCATTCCAAAGTGTGTTGTTTGTGTACAGAAAATCAGTATCTCCATCAGATTATCTCTTGGTATACTGGTCTGTTCTCCTGAGGCCAGTCTGTCCCTGACTACTGATAGTGCCTCCTCCATGTGTACCTTGGTGAACAAACTCACCACGTCTTAAAGGCTCACCATCTGGTTGTATTGGATGGGAGCATCTTTGATTATTTCCATGAATTGGACAGGGTTTCAGACATATGAAGTTATTAATGGATCAATTATATCTACAAGGAAGTGACTCAGAGGGTGGCATACAGTTGGCCTGAGTGGAATATCGTCTTTGTGAAATTTGGGGAGACTGTATATATGAGGTAGCTTGGTGTCGTGCTGCAACAACTGCCTGTATGTCTGAGGTGCGAAGTGGTCCCTGTTCTTGATTAGGATCTGTGACAGTTTTTGTTCTGTTTTCATTGTTGGATCTTTCTTTACTATAGCTACCATTTCTAATGAGGTCTTCCAGCTTTCCTGTATATTCCAATCTGTCCATCACTACAGTCACATTACCATTGTCAGCTGATAGTATGATGATGTTTTCATTCCTCTGTAGGGTTTTGATTGCCAGCCTCTCCAGTTTTGTGATGTTTGATTTGGGTAGCTTGGCTTTCTTCTGTATCTGCCTCACTTGTCATCTTGGCTCATCCACCCAAGCCTGAGGGATGTTCAAGGCTATTTCCTCAATTCTGGCAATGATGTCCAAGTATGGTATCCACCTGATGGTTGTGGCGATGTTGAGACCCTTGTTTAGTACTAACTCCTCTTAGACACTCAGTTGGTATTGGTCCACTTCAGAAAAAACAGACATGTTAAACATCTGAAATCCTTTATGCACAATGAGATGAACTTTGATTGTCTAATGTTTTTCTATCAAATTCACTTAGAAATCCAAAAATTTTATAACTTATTTGATTCTGCTACATTAGATAAAATGAATCACTTACAGGATGTGACACTTCTTATTAGATCAGTTACCAACAAGTTACTACTTGTACTGTGGATCAAATTTTATCCTTTTATCCAGCAAACTTAAGGTACATATTTGAAAATAAAGTCAAAGAATTAAAACAAAAATTATCTGAAGATCAAGTACATGAGAGAAAATTACCAATAATTTCTTTAAATGTTTTCAACCACCTTAAACAAAGACTGTCAGACAATTTGGAAATGCTAAAAAGTATTACAAGTTTTTTTCAGTTACCAAGGATCTACACCCAATTAAAGAGTCAACTGTAAATTTGATAAAAAGAATGGAGCTATCAGAGAAAGGTATTTCTGCTGCTGAAATATCTGTGTTAAAAACTGTATTTAATAAACTAAAACAAAACTCATAGTGGTAGATTTTGGAGTGAGATATAAGGGTATCACTGGAATTTGCTAAGTTTGTAACTTCAATATAAGTGCTACTCTCATCAAAAAAGAATTTTTAGTGGTACAAACATTGTGAAAACAAAACTGAGAAACAAAATGGAACTGAAAATATTTGAAGTATTATTAGCAACTAAATCAATATTAATAAGGCCCAATAAAAGCTACATGTATGAGCTTCCACAAAACCCTTAAAAGATATAGTACAAAACTTCATATGCAAGCTAAAATGACCTGTCCTTCTACACTAACACTTAAAGAACTCATCCAATTTTCAGATTATTAAATCTGTTGGCAAGTAACAATATCATTTAAAAATAACAATCACAGTGACATTAAAAGCTGAAGTAGACACTCATATTATTGCATGCAGATATAAAGTAAGGGTCAAATTTAACTAATATTACAATGTAGATTGAGCAAAGATAGAGTTTAGTTTAATGTAAATCAGTCACCAAATTTAGAGCAAATTCCCTCACTCATTATAAAAATATTACTTTTTCAAAAACAGAAAAAATTTCAAGATCAGTGAAATCAAATTAAATTGGATTTTTATTTTTGTCAATTTTAAATTTTTCTAACTAAATTTCTAAAATTAGATTAAACTTATATGGAAAAATTAAAATAACTAATAATTATTATTTCAGTTAATGAAAGTTTTGCTATAAGAATGTTAAATTCAGACACTAACTTTTTAGTAAATTTGCTAAACTGGAAAGTAAATGTACACTTTGTATTAATAGTTTATTCTGAAGTTTTAGTTTCTGGTTATCTAATAAGTGAACTTTTAATGGGTATAAAAGTTGTAGATAAAACTGAACGTGGAAAAAATTAGCCAATTTTCACCAATTTTTAAATAGTTTCAGCCTCCTTAAAAACACTAAACTAGAGATATGATAATTTAAAATTACAAATCATGTGATTCTTATCTGAAAGGATAGCAGTATATCCTGCTTAGCTTTCATGATTAATGTTAAACCATAAAAAATTGCAAATGAATTAAAATTAGATCCTTAAAATTACTTGATAGTGTTATATAATAGAAAAATTTTTAAAAGTTTGCTATTTTAAATTTTTTTTTTTTATGAGTATTTCATCCCAAGCAAGGCATGAGTGCCACTAGCACACAATGGGCTGCATAGAGGGAAAGTAAGGGAAAAGACTGGGTATAGGGGGGGATTGAGGAAATGATAAAAAGAACAACAGAGAAGGATAAAAAGAAGCACGAGGATCAAGCCATCAGATGTCGATTGACATTACATTTAAATTTTTGAATATTATAGTTATCAGGGAAGCAAGTAAGTGGAAGGGAGTTCCATTCTCAGGAAGTGCAAGAGAAGAAGTTGTTAGAGCAGAAGAGGTGGTTACATTTAACTGTTTCAACAGGAAAAGGGTGGAACTGAAATGCCAACCTAGTAGCATGCTTAAATTCATGCAGTCATGGCACTAGTGAAAATATCTTGTTAGAGTAGATGTCATGAAAATATTTATAGAAAAGACAGAGGGAAGCCACATTGTGTCTGAGAGAAAGTGACTTGAGTCAAGATCTCAAGTTAGGACTGATCACATTGCATATCCATCTTTGGATTTTGTCAAGGGCCTTGAAATGAACAGCGGGGACACCAGACCTTATATGGCAACTGTATTCCATATTTGGATGAATGGTAGATTTGTAAATGTGAAGGATGGGCTCAGACAAAAAAAACCCCTCTGGTGCGACCCAGAGAACCAACTTTCCTTGCAGTAGATGCAGCTAAAAAAACAATCCAGTTACATTTGTTCTTCTTAATGCTATATTTGTTGCATAAAAAAAGGATATTGGTAAAATATTTGAAGTTGAATAAATGTTTCACTGAAAAGTTTTTTAAGCCAACTTTATTTTTAACTAAGTTACCTATTTTGCTAAAATACATCACGTAAATGTGAGCTAACTAAATTTTATAATCAGATAAAAATCAAGATGATTATGCAGTGTAAAAATACTCATTATTTTTCTATGCCTGATCTTAAATATAAATCTGATTTGACTATATTAAATAGTCATAAAAAATTAGGTTCTT